CCGGCACAGCTACACAGACCAGGGAAGTGGCTCCTAAGCAGCATAGTACAGCCTGGCTAGAAGGGGTGGAGATGATACACAGCACCAGGTATTCAGGAAACAGGAAAAGAAGGTAAGTAGAAAGAGACGAGAAACCGAGAAATGAAGAAAAATGAAAGAGAAAACAAACAAGAAAAAGAAAAAGAAAAAGAAAAAAAGCCCCCAGGGATCCCACCAGCGTGGTGGTGTGGACCGGGGAAGCAGTTCCCCAGCCAAGTGCTGCTTCACAGCCTATCAAGAGGAAGCAAAGATGGTACATGGAGTCAGGAGTTCAAGAGAAAGGAGGGGGCGGAGGTGAGAGGCAGGGAGGAAACCAAAAGAAGCCAAAAAAAGCAACACCAGCAACAAAGAAATGGCAGTGAAGAAGCCGGCCAGTGTGGGTGGGGTGAATCCACACGGCATGGAACCAGTGCCTCCCATGCCATGGTTGTGGCCTGTCGGGAATCTGGGAATTGGCCTGCTGGGAAGTGGCAAAGGCCTAGTAGGGGGAGGCAGGGTAGGGGGTGGGAAAGCGTGTCTCACTGGTTACCGGGTGTTCTGTCTCCTGCTGGGAGTTCCATGAATCTGCTTTCCCATACTCCCTGTCCGCCAATCTCCAACACGAGTCCAAGATGGAGGATCCGTGCTGTGTTAGCCAACAGGGGACCTCTGCTCATAACTCTCCTCGCTCTCTGTTCTCTGTCAGTTTCTTATTCCAGTCAGTGCTTGGTTGAGTTCTTTATCTCTTTATTTGATGCTTAGGGTTCCAGGGTTGACGTTTGTCACTGTTTTACTTAGTTTTTTTGGTCTCTGCTGTGGAGGGATGGTGTGGTGCTTCTGTGTATAGTGCCAAGTTGGCTCCACCTCCTCTGGTGAGGAAAGCTGTTACACTGGGGATGGCGCAGATGGAAAGAAGCAGCAGAGAAACGGCAGCAGCAGAACCTGGAGACCGTCCCGAGACAGCACTGGAGCTGACCCGTGGAGCAAGTGAGCTAAGTGTCTTTGCACAGGAGGCTTCCTGGCAGAGTGGGGTGCCTCCGGGCACTTATCAGTGGAGCTAGGCTTGCTGACCCATGGAGCAAGAGAGCTGAGTGCCTTCCAGCTGAAGTTTACTGGTGGAGTGGGGTGCCTCTGGCACATATCAGAGGAGCTAAAGAGCGTTAGAACACTTGTCCCAGCAGGGCAGATGTGGCCGGAGAGGCCCGAGGGGCTGAGAGACCAAGGAACTAGGATGCAGAAGCTGAAGACACAAGGAACACAGGAAGCAGAGCTGCCTCAGTCTCAAAGGGTAGGGCCATGACCTCTGGGGTCTCAAGGGATGGAGTTGCCACTAAGATGGACTAGGAGAATGGAGTCACCCAAATTCGAGGGAGCAGAATTGCCCTTACAGCTGGCCTGGAAGGCAGAGCTGAAGCCCAAGGCTGAGGGGCCTCCACTCAGAATCCGGAGAGTGTGGCCAATACCTAGAGTCTGGGAGGGCAGGGCCACTGTCTAAATGGTCTCAGAGAACAGAGGATTATTTTCAAGCCTGGAGAGCTCACATAATGTGTTCTGCTGACTTGCTTGCTGCCTGTTTTCCCTTCCAATTTCTCCCATTTGTAATGGAAATGTCTACCTTGCACCCGTTCCACTACTGTACTTTGGAAGCAGATAACTTGCATTCTAGACTTCACAGATGAAGAGGAATTTTCGGATTTTGTACCTGGAGTTGAATTAAGACTTTTGCTATGATATAATCGGGTGAATGTGTTTTACATGTGGCAAGGACATGAATTTTGGGTGGCCAAAAGGTGGCATGTTACGGATTGAATTGTGTCCCCTAAAAATGTGTGTCACCTTGGCAAGGCCATGACTCCCAGTACTGTGTGACTGTCCACCATTTTGTCATCTGATGTGATTTTCCTACGTGTTGTAAATCCTACCGCTATAATGTTAATGAGGCAGGATTAGCAGCAGTTATGTTCATGAGGCAAGATTCAATCTACAAGATTAGGTTGTGTCTTAAATCAATTTCTTCTGAGATTTAAGAGAAGTGAGCAGAGACATGGGGATCTCATGCCACCAAGAAACAAGAGCCAGGAGAATAGCACATCCTTTGGACCCAGGGTCCCTGAGCTGAGAAGCTCCTTGACTATGGAAGACAGATGACAAGGAGCTTCCTCCAGAGCCGACACAGTGAGAAAGCGTTCCCCTAGAGCTGGCGCCTTGAATTTGGACTTCTAGCCTCCTAAACTGTGAAAGAATAAAATTCTGTTTGTTAAAGCCATCCACTTGTGGTATTTCTGTTATAGCAGCACTAGGTAACTAAGACACCAAGATAGGAGAAATTAGAAAAGGACAGAGATTACAAAGGGATCTTTAGTGATGGAGGCAAAGCAGTCAAAAATGTCTGCCAGTTAATGTTTCCTTCCATTCCATTTCCAGTCATACCCATGATGATAGTTACCATCCACCACTTGAGTGGCGGTGCAATCAGTCAGAGCCAGCTTCCCTGATGCATAGCACCCCAAATCCATACCACTGGAGTACAGGGCAGATGGGGTCAAGAGGCAAATGTTGGCATTCTAAGAAGGAAATGTCTTCCTGTTGTTAATAAGGTGTCCCAGGCTTGGCAGTTCACAGGTTGAACCAACCCATGACTCTAGCTTCTCTACTGATGAATGGGACTCATGATGAGCAAGATCCAGACACGAGGGGACTTTCACAACAGATCTGATCAAATTAAAAAACACTTAGTTATGTAGCTATAAAATAAGTTGTCATTTTATGTATAATTTTAACTCACCAGGATTTCACTAGTAATTACATAAAATGCCTTGGACACCCTGAAGAAATGACCACAAAAAGTAATAAAACAAAATAAAAAGAGCAAGACAATTCATACCTTTTGGTACTATTTTGTCTGGTTTGTTGCTTTGTGATCTCTTCAAAAGCAAGAATTGGGCTACAGAACAGCTGACCACTTTTCCTGATAATCCTTTGCTTCATGGCAGTTAGACTACTCCATTCACGAACAAACCTCAAAATCTGGCAGAAAATGAGATAATGAACAGAGTCAGCAGCTCATTAGACATCTTTCTTTGAAAGTTAGGCTATTTTCAACATCAGAAAACCAAAGTTTTATTATATCCCCCAAATACGCTTTTCAGTTTCCAATTAAAGGCTTCCTTTAATTTGATGCAGTTTCATATCTTCGTTGCGAACTATCTACAGCAACTTCTACAGAGATCAATTCGAGGACTCTCTAAAGACTAGTCTCAGGGCCCCCAGCACATGCCCTTAACGAGCATAAGGGCCAACAGTGATAAAGTGCTCACTGAGCCCAAAAGTGGTCTCACTGTGTGAAGCACAAATGCCAGCAGTGGCCAAGGCAAAACTGGGGAAAGCAGGTATTGTGGTGCTGACAGAGTGATCGTGAAGTGTCTGAGAACGGCTATGCACCCAACTGACTAAATTATCATAGAAGAACAGTCATGAATAAATCTGGGAAATTTTTATTAAGGTGATTTATATCTTACTTAACAGGTCCCTAGGTATGCACTCGACTGCTAACCTAAAGGTTGGCAGTTTGAACCCACCCAGCAGTACTGTGGAAGACAGGCCTGGTGATTGCTTCTATTAAGATTACAGCCAAAGAAGTGCTATGGAACAGTTCTACTCTGTAACACATGGGGTCACCATGAGTCAGAAATGACTTGACAGCAACTAACAACAACATATCTTACTCGGAGTCCCTAGGTAGTGCAAACAGTTAACATGCTTGGCTGCTAACTGAAAGGCTGGAGGTTGGAGTTCACCCAGAGCCCTGGCGATCTGCTTCCAAAAAATCAGCCATTGAAACCCTATGGAGCACAGTTCTGCTCTGACACACATGAGGTTGTCATGAGTTGGAGTGGACTTGATGGCAATTGGTTACTGGTTATATCCTACTAGCCAATTATACATCACTGCCTGTTTTCTGGGAATCTGAGAGTCGGAATAAGATAATACCAGAGAAAAAAGCTCACTGCTACCCTTCCCTTTAAGACAGGTACAGCTGACCCATGGGCCATGCTTCATTTTCACTCAGAAGGTAAAACGATTTTCTTGTAAAATGGTGCCTGCATGTGGGGCCAGTCCCTCTGCATGCTGACCCTCCTTAGCAATGCAGATGCAGAGGCTGCAGATCAGAATGAAGGCCCCCCCTTGCATGTACTGGGCCTGGAGCTGCCCACTGGTGACTCTGGCAATGAATTGAGTCACCTCACATGGTATTATCCCTGCTCTCAGAATTTGTCATTGTTAGAGCTTAACCTTAAAAGATAAAATGTGATCCTGTCAGATACAAATACCACAGTTGCTAATCCTGTGAATGAGAAATTAAATGATGTGAGGATGATTCTGTCCACAGAAACAGCAACTCTAGGTGTGATCATTTGCCGGGAAACAGACTTCACATTTATTCTTAGCACCGGGGTAATTAACAAGCACTGCCTGAATCAATTAAAATGCAACCAGTGACTTGACTCTGCAACAGGCCACAAAGCGCTCTGCTTTTATTAATCTGAACATGATCATTAAAATTAATAAATATATTTTTATTTAAAATAAATGCACAGGACTATTCTTACCAGTGAGCGATTTTGTTTCAGCTGGAAGTTTGCTGGTAAATCTTCCCAAAGGTCTAATTTTATATCCAAAGGAATGAAATTACAGTTCATCGGTTTTCCATCCTGATTATAGATTAGGAAGACATTATTAATCAGCTTCTGTCTGTAGGCACTAGTAATTATTTTAAAAAGAAATAATTATATTACGGCATATGTTATGGATTGAATTGTGTCTATAGATACCAATGAAGATTGTCAAGGAACCGAGGAATGCTGGGGCTACAGAAGCTGAAAGACACAAGGATCTTCACCCAGAGTCAACAGAGAAACCCGTGGTGCCCTGAATTTGAATTTTTAGCCTCATGAACTGTGAGAAAATAAATTTGTTTTCTTTAAGCCACTGGTTTGTGGTATTTCTGTTACAGCAGCCATAGGAAACTAAGACAGCATAGTATTCCCAGGTTCCTAGACAATAAACTGAGCTGGTACATTCTAGACAAGGGTCCATCCAAAATGGCTACTCAGAAAGGTGGGCTGAGTGGGGGCAAGGGGGCAGGCTCTATATAACAGCTTGTGTGTCTCACTATCTCCACCTACTCCAAGCCTCCTGCATTCAGCCTGGGATACTGTGTAGACTATCCCGTCATACTCTTCTCTATTGCCTCATTTAGAAATAAGTGTCAAAACTATGAAATCTGTATATTGCAAATCAATAAAGAAGAATAATATATCCTTGAAGTTAACTGTAGAGCAACCACTCCTAAATTCACAAATAAATTTCTTTATAATCATTGAAAATGTCAGTATTGTATCAAAGGTGGGTATGGCCCTCCCCAAATGGATTGAAAAACCTGACCATTGTTAAAAGAACAATGGAAGTGAGAAGGCAAAAAAGCAATTCCAAAGGAATGATTTAAACATTTGCTCCCTGAAAGCAATGTGGATTCATGAGGACTGACTGCCAATAGGACCTGAGATGGTTAACACCTGGAGAGTAAATAGACGTGCACAATATTGTGAAGTCTTAAGGGTAAAGCTCCAAGTACAGGAGTGTAGTTGGTTAAATATGAGTAGAGATACTTAATTTTAAAGGGGAAGAAGAACCTCTGCATAGGAAAATCTATTGCATCAGCAATAGCTGAGCTCATATTCGAATTCTCTCAGCCAAAATGAAATGTTATAGCCCCCATAATCACTTTGGAAGAAATCCACAAAAAGTTCTTATATATTGATTACAAGTTTAGATTTGTAATTGCTGTTCTAAATAAACATGGAGTTAGACTTGGGATTCTAGCTGGCTGAAACGAAGTTTTTTTTGAGTTATATTGTTATTACGATGCAGGATGCTGAATATCTGGTACTGCTCTTCCTTTAAGGGTGTTCTTTTAGACAGTAAACTAGGTTTTTTAATTTTATTTTTTCTTCAAATTTCTACTTCTATACAACCAAACACTTCGAGGGACAGAGTAGCAGGGGTTGGGGTCTGAGGACCATGGTTTCAGGGGACATCTAGGTCAACTGGCATAACAAAGTTTATTAAGAAAATGTTCTGCATCCCACTTTGGTGAATGGTGTCTGCAGTCTTAAAAGCTAGTGAGCACCCATCTAAGATGCATCAACTGGTCCCAACCCACCTGGAGCAAAGGACAATGAAGAACACTAAAGACACAATGAAAATATTAGCCCAAGAGACAGAAAGTGCCACATAAACCAGAGACTCCATCATCCTGAAACCAGAAGAACTAGATGGCGCCCGGCTACCACCAATGGCCATCCTGACAGGGAACACAACAGAAAGTCCCTGATGGAGCAGGAGAAAAGTGGGGTGCAGAACTCAAATTCTAATAAAAAGACCAGACTTAATGGTTTGACTGAGACAGGAGGAACCCCAGAAGACATGGCCCCCAGACTCTCTGTTAGCTCAAAACTAAAACCATTCCTGAGGCCAACTCTTCAGACAGAGATTAGACTGGACTGTGGGACATAAAATGATACTTGTGAAGAATGTGCTTCTTAGCTCAATAGACAGATGGAACTAAATGGGCAACTCTTGTCCAGAGGTGAGATGAGAAGGCAGAGAGGGTCAAGAGCTGGCTGAATGGACACGGGAAAACAGGGGTGGAAAGGAGGAGTGTGCTGTCACAGTATAGGGAGAGCAACTAGGGTCACATAACAAAGTATGTATAAATTTTTGTATGAGAAACTAACTTGAATTGTAAACTTTCACTTTAAGCACAATATAAAAAAAAATCTACTAGATTTTACTTCAGCTCTTCTAAGGCAAAAAAGGAAAGCTTTCGTCTCAACTCTGCTGTAGCTATGAAAAGACATGTTAACATTTCATCTCATTAGTATCTCATGTTTAGAAGATTAACTGAATGATAACATTTATGGCAAAGGGACATGTGTTTAGAACAGTCATAAAAATGCATCCGAGACCATTAAGAGACCTGAGAAGTTGATGGGGCCCCGCTACACAGGCTGGGGTGGCAGAGCCAGAATATGAGCCAGAGAGGCTGTCACTGCAGTGTGGCTTGGCAGTAGGCACACTCTACCCTCTACTGGAAGACTGAAGTTTCCCTCTGCCCCCACCCGGAAGAGGGAAAGCATAGATCAGATAATACAGGGGGCAGAGCTTTCACTGTAGAGAGTAAAAAGTTTAAAGTGCGTAAGGGCTTCTGAATTCCTATGGTATGCTCTGTCTGACGTCTGCCTTTTGGCTTCTCGACCTTTAAGCTCCGCTGGGGACCTGGCTCGGGCACTCAGACAGGACTCTAGAGGAGTGCCATGCCTTGGGGCTTCCTCCAGTGTGGCTCACCATGTCTAGAGGCTCCACATGGTGGGATGGGGTCCAAGCCTATAAGAGGAGCATTGTTTATGGCCTGGCTTGGTCCTTGGTGTGTTTCTCTTTCTTGGCTGTGGGCCCATGCTAGAGGTTGGTTGGGGATTTTGGTATTCAAGAGCCTAGCCATCTCCTTCTAATGATATTGTGTAGCACACCATCTGTCTATAACAATATTTGGCTACTTAGAAAATCTACAACTGAACGATTGGTCAGCTCCAATACGGTTTACAAGTTATCTTTAACAAAGTATTCTTTCATTAACTAGGTGACCCATAGGTTTAGTTATAGATACTATTTTATTATATTTACAAAGATTAGAAATTTGACATTGCAGACCAAACCAAAGTATTCATACTGTCATCAAATTTTTCCTCAAATACTCACATTAGTTTACCTGGGCCAAAGATTCTCCTATGGCTCCTAAGACCCATTCAGGGGATCTACAAGGTTAAAAGTATTTTTGTAATAATAGTAAGATATTATTTGCCTTTTCACTTTCGTTCTCTCACAAGTGTACAGTGAAGTTTTCCAGAGGCTACTTGACACGTGATATCACGAGAAATTGAATGCAGAGGCAGACATGAGAATCCAGCTGTCTTCTATCAAGGTTTTAAAGATAATTGCCAAAAATGTACAATGTCACTCTTCTCACTAAATATTTTTGTTTTGAAATATGTAATTATTTTTCATAAATACGTTATTTATAGAAATACATAAAGGCTTTGTTTACATAGATATAAAAAGGCTCTATTGTTGCTTTGTTATTTTAAAATGAAATTAATAAATGAATATTTCTAAATGTCTCCATTTTAATTTCAAATATGGTAAATATTAATAGAGACAACCCGCAATAGGGATCCTCAATAATTTTTAAGAGTGCAAAGTGGTTCTGAGATTAATGTTTGAACATTACTAACCTAGGCTGTGGCAGGAATCTGAGCAATCATATGACTCAAGCTTCCTAGAGTTCATTCAACACAGATAGGCTTTTGTAAAGCTGCTGCTGTTGCTACTAATTATCAGTGCAGGAGCTAACGTTTTTTGACAGTTTCTTGTGGCTGGGCCCTGTGCTAAATGCTTTACATGCAATAAATTAGCTGATTTTATCCTTGCAACAACTCTTTTCCACATTTTACACTGTAGGCAAAGGAGGCACAGAACAACTAAGTAACATGTCCAAGATGACACAGCTGGAAGGGAACAGAGACATGTGAACTGAGGCAGTCTGACCCTGAAGTCTGTGCTCTTAACTACCCTGCTGTTTGTTCTCTCAGTGTCTTCAGATTTTACACAGGAATTTGAGAACTAGCTTTCATGCCTACTTCATTGTTAATAAAACTAAATATCTCCATTGAAACATGAGAAAAGGAAGCCTTTTATATGTTTCAACTTATAAAATCTGCACGATGCTTACCTTAGTATAGAGATGAATTCGGTCAGTATTCTTACTTCCACAAAACATTAAGATATCATATACTGGCAAAGTCGCTGAACTCTTCAACTGTTCTAATGAAGAAGACATGAGAAACTGCAGGCTTACTTATGCTCTTTCCAAAATAGCTTATTTTAGTCTTCTGTAGGTTAAAACCAAAAACCAAACCTCTTGCTGTCGAGTCAATTCTGACTCATAGCAACCCTACAGGACAGAGTAGAACTGCCTCATAGGGTTTCCAAGGAGCGGTTGGTGGATTTGAACTGCCAAACTTTTGGTAAGCAGCTGAGCTCTTAACCACTGTGCTACCAGGGCCCCTTCTGCAGGTTGGGATGATAAAACGGCTGTATCGAAAGAGTCAACATAGCTGATGAAGAATATGTGTCTGGACTTGAAATAATACCACAGTTGGCCATCTGGGAATCCTGGATGGCACAAATGGTGAAGTGCTCCACTGCTAGTGGAAATGCTCAACTACTAGCTGAAAGACTGGCAGTTGGAATCCTCCCAGAGATGCCTTCGAAGACAGGCTTCGAAAACCCTACGGAGCACAGTTCTACTCTGACACACGTGGGGTCACCATGAGTTGGAATCAACTCCACAGCAACTAACAACAACAACAAAGGCCATCTAATTGCATATTGGCTTATGTGGTAACTAGTTACTTTTCATTTTTGCTAATGATGCAACAGGAAATAAACAGACTCAGAATTAGGTGAAAAGGATAAAGTCAGGCATAAGGGTGAATGTCCCGCTACCAAGAGTTGTTATTAGTTGTTAGTAGACTTGAAGGAATCTAGAATCTATCCTGTTTACTAGAGCGGGTTTAAGCTGAAAGTGAATGGGCACCGTTTTGATTATCAGGAGCAACACAGCTATGCTATTATATCAACCACTTAAATGCTGATTCCCTGTGGCTTAGAGCCTCACACTCACAAAAGGAGATAAGTGGACAAACTTCCTTTCTGACTATCTTTTTTGATTTAACCTCGTTCTTAATCCCATTGTACAATATATTCTGAGTGAGACTCAAACTGGTCTAAATAATAATCATAGTTAACACTTTTTGAGCACTTAAAACACACCAAGCAATATTCTAAGTACATATATTAACTTATATTAACTCATTCAGACTTCAAACAACTCTTAGAAATTAGTGCATTTTACAGATAAGGAATCTGAAGCACATTAACTTACCCAAGGCCACACTGCTAGTAACAGGATTTAGATCAGGCAATTTGGATCCCTACCATTTGCCTGTCAGTATGTCATATTGTGGTGGCTTGCATGTTGCTGTGATGCTGGAAGATATGCCATGGTATTTCAAAAACTAGCAGAGTCACCCATGGGGGACAGTTTCAGTGGAGCTTCCAGACTAAGACAGACTAGGGAGAAGGACCAGGCGATCTACATCTAAAAAAACTGGCCAGTGAAAACCTTACAAATAGCAGTGGAACATTTTCTGATATTGTGCCAGAATATGAGCCCCTCATGTTGGAAGGCAATCAAAATATGGGAAGAGCTGCCTCCTCAAAGTAGAGTTGACCTTAATGATATGGATGGAGTAAAACTTTCAGGACCCTCATTTGCTGATGTGACATGACTCAAAATGACAAGAAAAAGATACAGACATCCGTTGATAATCAGAAAATGGAATGTATGAAGTATGAATCTAGGAAAATTGAAAGTTGTCAAAAATAAAACGGAATGCTTGAAGATTGATACCCTAGGCATTAGTGAGCTGAAATGGACTGGTATTGGCCATTTTGAATTGGACAATCATATGGTCTACTATGCCGGGAATGACCAATTGAAAAGGAGTGGCATCACATTCATTGTCAAAAAGAACATTTCAAGATCTGTCCTGAAGTATAACGCTGTCAGTGACAGGATAATATCCATATGCCTACAAAGAAGGCATATGACTATTATTAATTAATATGACTATTATTCAAATTTATACACCAACCACTAAGGCAAAAGATGAAGAAATTGAAGATTTTTACCAACTTCTGCAGTCTGAAATTGATCAAATATGCAATCAAGATGCATTTATAACTACTGGTGATGGGAATGGGAAAGTTGGAAACAAAGAAGGATTGGTAGTTGGAAAATATGACCTTGGTGATAGAAACGACACTGGAGATTGTAAGACAGAATTTTGCAAGACAAAAGACCTATTTATTGGAAATGCCTTTTTTCAATAACATAAACGGTGACTACACAGGTGGACCTTGCCAGATGGAATACACAGGAATCAAATTGACTATATTTGTGGAAAGAGATGATGGAGAAGATCAACATCATCAGTCAGAACAGGGCCAGGGGCTGTCTGTGGAACAGACCATCAATTGCTCATATGCAAATTCAAGTTGAAGGGGAAGAAAATTAAAACAAGTCCATGAGAGTCAAAGTACAACCTTGAGTATAGCCCACCTGAATTTAGAGATCATTTCAAGAATGGATTTGACGCACTGAACACTAATGACTGAAGACCAGACTCATTGTGAGATGACATCAAGGACAACATCCATGAAGAAAACAAGAGGTCATTAAAGAGACAGAGAGGAAAGAGAAGACCAAAATGGATCTCAAAAGAGACTCTGAAACTTGCTCCTGAACGTAGAGTAGCTAAAGCAAAAGGAAGAAACGATGAAGTAAAAGAGCTAAACAGAAGATTTCAAAGGGTGGCTCGAAAAGCTGAAGTAAAGTATTATAATGAAGTGTGCAAAGACCTGCAGTTGAAAAACCAAAAGTCAAGAACACACTATTTCTCAAGCTGAAAAAAAACTGAACCAAAAAATTCAAGCCTCGAGTTGCAATACTGAAGGATTCTGTGGGGAAAATACTGAATGACACAGTAAGCATCAAAAGAAGATGGGAGGAACAGAGTTACCGTACCAAAAAGAATTGGTTGACATTCAACCATTTCAGAAGGGAGCATATGATCAAGAACCGATAGCACTGAAGGAAGAAGTTCAGGCTGAAGTGAAGGCATTCCCCAAAAACAAGACTCCAGGAATTGATGAAATACCAGTTGAGAGTTTTCAACAAATGAATGCAACACTGGAAGCACTCACTAGCCTATGTCAAGAAATTTGGAAGACAGCTACCTGGCCAACTGACTGGAAGAGATCCATATTTGTGCCCCTTCCAAAGAAAGGTGAACCAAGAGAATGCATAAGTTATCGAACAATATCATTAATATCACACATAAGTAAAATTTTGCTGAAGTTAATTCAAATTCAGTTGCAGCAGTACATTGAGAGGAAGCTGACAAAAATTAAACCCAAATACAGAAGACGACGTGGAATGAGGAATATCATTGTTGAAGTCAAACGGATCCTGGCTGAAGGCAGAGAACACTAGAAAGATGTTTAACTGTTTGTTACTGACTATGCAAAGGCATTTGGCTGTGCAGATCATAATAAAATATGGATAACTGTGAAAAATGGGAATTCCAGAACACTCAATTTCATGAGGACCCTGTATATAGACCAAGAGGCAGTCGTTCGAACAGAACAAAGGGATACTGTGTGGTTTAAAATCAGGAAAAGTGTGCATCAGAGTTGTATTCTTTCACCATACTTATTCAATCTGTGTGCTGAGCAAATAATCCAATAGACTGGACTGTATGAAGAAGACTGTGGCATCAGAATTGGAGGAAGACTCATCAACAACCTGTAATATACAGGACAACACAACTTTGCTTGCTGAAAGTGAAGGAGACTTGAAGCACTTACTCATGAAGATCAAAGACCACAGCCTTCAGTATGGATTACACCTCAACATAAAACAAAAATCCTAACAATTGGATCAATAAGCAAAATCATGATAAATGGAGAAAAGATTGATGTTGTCAAGGATTTCATTTTAGTTAGATCCAAAATCAATGTCCGTGGAAGCAGAAGTCAAGAAATCAAATGATGTATTATATTGGACAAATCTGCTGCAAAAGACCTCTCTAAAGTGTTAAAAAGCAAAAGTGTCACTTTGAAGACTAAGGTGCATGTGATGGTTAAGATTGTGTGTCAACTTGGCTGGGCCATGATTCTCCGTGTTTTAATGTAATCACTCCCATGATTGAATATACTGTGAGTAGCCAATCAGATGAAAGGGAGTCTCCTCGGGGGTGTGGCCTGCATCTGTATATAAGCAGACGTTCTGGCTCTTTGCTCTCTCTGGATCCTGCGGCTGCTTCCTGTCGTCTCATCTCCTGTTCTTGGGACTTGAGCTGTCAGCTTATCTGCCGAACCTGGGATTCATCGATCTGCACAGCCTGTGAGTGGGAGCCCTGGTCTCAGACCTTCCGATGTTGGGCTTGCCAGCTTCTGCAGCTGTGTGACTTGGGAGAGGCCTCTACCCTGATCCACGGACTTGGGATGTTCTAGCCTCTACGATCACGTGAGCTGTTTCCTTGATATAAGCTCTCTCTATATATATACTTATACACTTTACTGGTTTTGCTTCTCTAGAGAACCCAGCCTAAGACAGGTGCATGGTATTTTCAATCACCTCATAGGCATGTGAAAGCTGGACAATGAATAAGGAAGACCGAAGAAGAATTGATGCCTTTGAATTATGGCATTGGCAAAGAATATTGAATATACCATGGGCTGCCAGAAGAACGAACAAATCTATCTTGGAAGTATAGCCAGAATGCTGCTTAGAAGTGAGGATGGGGCAACTTTGTCTCACGTACTTTGGACATGTTATCAGGACGGACCAGTCTCTGGAGAAGGACATTATGCTTGGTAAAGCAGAGGGTCAGAGAAAAACAGAACTCTCTCAACTGGACAGACTGACACTATGAATGCAACAATGGACTCAAATGTAGCAACGATCGTGAGGATGGTGCAGGAATGGGCAGCGTTTCGTCCCATTGTACACAGGTTTGTTATGAGCCAGAATTGGCCTGACATCACCTAGCAACAACAACAACAATGTGAATCCAGAGCCTGACCTTTTAACCTCTGAAATAGTACTTCAGTGACCTCTGAAAGTACTTTCTGAGCTCTAAAAATCTATGATTTGTTTGCCATTCTACTTGCCGATGGCATCATATTATTCCTCTGTTCCAGGCACTGGTCAGTTCACAAACTTGGTTTGTGGATTACTGCCATATCTCATAAATTAAAATGAACATTTTTTCACACTTTAACATCTCTGAAATTGGCATGTCTCAGAGTCAATAATCATGCCATCTTACAATCACTGGTGCCAGATGGAGACTGTGAAGTGGTCATCATTGCCTGAGCATGCAATAGCTTAGTCACAGCTGTTACACTGCCCCCACTTCAACACTACACTTGAGGTATGTGCATTGTTACTATGTATGTTGAGTGTAATTATCTTTAAAATGTTCTAAAAAAAATTCACTATGATTTTGTATTTGAAAAGTTATTATGTATACCAAAAAACTTGAAGCAAATATGTATCATTGGAGGAATAGCCAAAATTTTGCATCTTCTTGCAAAGGAATAACCAAGTGCTTCGTGGGACCTACGGAGAGACAATCCCTGCACACCAGGTAAGCTGTCTTCTGATTACCACGATGTGCAAAAAAGGTTGCCTATTACATGCTAAGCAAAGCAACCCGAAGGCAGGAAAACCTGCCAAATCCCTGAGAATAGATGAAAGAAATGTCGAAGCAACGGAGAGCATGGTATGACCTGGTCTGGGCTATTGCTGAGGTACTGTGTCATAGTTTAATTGGCAGCATTTTTTCTTCTTAATGGTACATAAAATAAGTGCATTTCACAATCAGTGTGTCTTTGGATTCGAACAACTATGGTTAAGGCATTAAAGCTTAATGATCAGAAGTTATTCTTTGATAAAAGCATTGTGATGTGAGAACAATTCCAAATGGGTTGATATTCATCCTTTGTACCTAGTGGCTGCTTGGGCAACACAGTTCTCTTTTCAGTGTTTTCATGAAGTGTAATTTAATGGTTTGATTCTAATGATGCATCTTTTAAAGACAGGGCCATCCTTCCGGATCCCTAGAATTCAAATTACAACAAAACTATACTTCCAGAATAGTACATATCACCCTGATGTTCTAAAAGAGTATATGTGGGAAGAATAAACATTTTAACACAGTGTGCCTCCTCTGTCTTCTTTCTGTTTGTTTTTCATGGGAATCTATGTTAGTGGCAGATGTGAAGCATATTTCTTGTATGGAGTTCTCAGTCCACTGATCTAAGAAGTGAAGGAATGGAAGGGGCCGGGAGAACGCTGGCATTGTCTGGAATGGATAGGGTCAAGGTAAAATTTCACTGGCAAAATAGAATTTCTAAGAGTCAAGTGATTTTTGAAACATATTTGTAAGTATGAGCTAACGTAGGTCTTCATCTAGGGACTGATTTACAACTAACAAGCCAATATTTCCCTGCCATAGATGGAGAGACTCAAGGCCCAATCAGGTCTGATTCCCAGGCTGATGATTAGTCCACTGAGTCATATGCTGTTCTAAGAGCTTCATCAGCACTTGGGGGTTTTTTCATAGCAAGAACAAGGAAACTAGAGATTCAAAAGAACATATACCCACCCTGAGTGTACACTGTCCACTTGAAAGCCACTAAAATGAACAGGGACATAAACAGGATCCATTCTAAAATTATCTTTGGGAAGACCTAGAGGAATCAGAGAAAGGGAAAGCTGATGGAAGAAGAAAAGAGGATGCCTTGAGTTCAGAAATTCTTAAATGAATATTTTGTTTTAAAGCTATAAATTTAACTCCAAATTATATCAACGTTTAGTAAGTAGTCTCATCCCAACAATTTTGGATATGTTATAATGAGAATGGAGTCCTGGTGGCGCAATGGTTAAGAGCTATGGATGCTAACCAAAAGGTGGGCAGTTTGAATTCACCAGCTGCTCCTTGGAAACCCTATGGGGCAGTTCTACTCTGTCCTGTAGGGTCGCTATGAGTCAGAATTGACTTGACAGCAACGGGTTTTTTTTTGGTTTATAACGAGAATATCAGTCTGTGGGTTACTGTGGTCACTAACTAAGTAATAAGGAAAATAACTCAAAAGTACTCATAATCTTTTGCTGGATGGCCCATAAAGTGCAGCAGTGTATGATATACAGGCTGGTGTTTGCTCACCATCATAGCTATAAACAAATGACTGGAATCAACCAAAAAGTAAGTAAATCCAAAATGCTATATGGTTGATTCCAAATGCAACCAGCATTCATACAGCCTTGCAATTACATTTCCTAAAAATATTTTCTTAGAGCATCTGGGGTCTTAAAAGCTAGCGAACAGCCATCTAAGATGCATCAATTGGTCCCAACCCACCTGGAGCAAAGGAGACTGAAGAACACCAAAGACACAAGGAAGATATTAGCACGAGAGACAAAAAGGGTCATATGACCCAGAGACTGCATCAGCCTGAGACCAGAAGAACTAGATAGTGCCTGGCTACCACCAATGACTGCCCTGACAGGGAACACAACAGAGAGTCCCTGACAGAGCAGGAGAAAAGTGGGGCACAGAACTCAAATTCTAGTAAAAGGACCAGACTTAATGGTCTGACTGAGACTGGAGGGACCCCAGAAGACATGGCCTCTGGACTCTCTGTTAACCCAGAAATAAAACCATTCCTGAAGCCAACTCTTCAGACATAGACTGGACCATAAGACATAAAATGATACTTGTGAAGAGTGTGCTTCTTAGTTCAAGTAGATACACGAGACTAAATGGGCAGCACCTGTCCAGAGGCAAGATGAGAAGGCAGAAAGGGACAGAAGCTGGTTGAATGGACACAGGAGATCCAGTGTGGAAAGGAGGAGTGTGCTGTCACATTATAGGGATAGCAACTAGGGTCACATAACAATGTGTATGAATTTTTATATGAGAAACTAACTTGAGCTGTAAGCTTTCACTTACAGCACAAAAAAAAAAAAGAAAAATATTTTCTTAGAAAAAAAATCCAACACACCATGTTTTAAAATATGCCAATTAAATGAAATTCATATGTAAAGGATTAATGATCTGCTAAATGTCTGTTCCACCACCCATCTGTCAGTTTGTCATACTGTAGTGCCTTGCATGTTGCTGTGATGTTGGATGCTATGCTACTGGTATTTCAAATACCAGCAGGGTCACCCATGGTGGACAGGTTTCAGCAGAGCTTTCAGACTAGACAGACTAAGAAGAAAGGCCTGACAATCTATTTCCAAAAATTAGCCAATAAAAACCTTATGGATCACAACAGAACACTATCTTATTCCCTTGGTTTGGACACATCATCGAGGAGATCAATCATTAGAAGAGGACATCATATTTGGGGAAGCAGAGATCAACAACGGTGAGAGAGACCCTTGGTGAGATAGAATGGCATACTAGCTGCAATGATAGACGAGAACATGCTGGCAATCGTAAGGATGATGCACCTCTGGGCAACATTTCTTTCTGTTGTACCTAAGGTCGCCATGAGTCAGAGTCGACTTGATGGCAGCTAACAACAACAACAAGAAATATCTGTTAATAATCCATCAAAAAGAACCTCCCAATATCAAAACAGCACCCTCACCGTGGGAGTGGGCAAGGCTTGCTTGGGGCTGGGCAAAAGGCCTGGTGGCAGCACATACAGCATTTATTGTTTCTCTCTGTGTGCAATGTCTGAATGGCAGCATACACACACTGCTCTTCCAGCCATCTGCTGTTTAAGCATGTGGTTACAAATAGTTGGCAATTTTAATATAAAAATGAATAAAAGGAAGCTGGAACAAGCTAGTAACCTCAACTCTAATGGAAGTACTATGTGTTAAAGTACACAGTTATTATTTGGACGCTGTGGAAATAGAAATAAGACTTACCATTACTTGGCTGGGGAGTGAGTCCATCTTCCCTTTCAATTTCTGATGGCTCTTCCTTGTTCTCAGGCAACAATTCAGGTGCTGACGGTGCACGGACTTGTTTTTCACAGTCAGGGTTAGTTCCAACTTCTCTGGAGGTGTCTTTCTGAGAATCATCCTTTCCACATTTGCTTTTACCCTGGGTCTGGATGAGGCTATCTATTTGCAGAATTTAAAAAATCAGATAGACAATTTACACTTCAATTTAGTGAAGACCATTATTTACTCAAAGCCTAGTTAAAAATGTAAAGTTTAAAAAAAAAGTCACAGCTAGGTCTTATAAAAAGAAACAAAATTAACCATGTTCAGTTTATATAAAACATAGAGTCTAATACATGTCAAGTGCTATTCTAGGTGCTGGAGAAACAGCAAGGAACAAGGTAGGTAAGTTCCTGCCTCCTGGAGATTCCACTCTATGTGGTAGAGATAAGACAATAAACAGGTAAACAAATAAATGTTGTTGCTGTGTGCCATCGAGTCGATTCCAACTCATAGCAACCCGATAGAACAGAGTAGAACTGCCCCATAGGGTTTCCAAGGCTGTAATCTTTACAGGAGCAGACTGCCAGGTCTTTCTTCCTGCAGAGCCACTGTTGGGTTAGAACTGCTGACTATTTGGTTAGCAGCTGATCGCTTAACCACTGGGCCACTGGGGCTCCTTAAACAAAAAAATAAATAGGGTCTTTTCAGGTAAAGAGAACAAAACAGGGTTTTTGTGAGTAAGAAGATGGAGGAAGGCACTAGTGTAGCAAGTCATCAGGTCAAGCTCTTGGAGGAATCTCCTGTGAGCTGAGAGCTGTTCATGAATGCAGGAAGCCTGGTCTGGGGCTTGTATTCTTGGAAAAAGATTTCAAATGTAACTGAAACAATTAGAGGGTTTCAGGTAAGGGAATAATAATAATGACCTAAGTTTTTAAAGGATCCCTCTGATTTCCATGCAGAAAAGACCACAAGGGTGTAACAGATGAAGCAAGGAGTCTAACAGGGAGGCTACTGAGGTCTAGGAGAGAGGTGATGGTGACCTCAAGCCAGATGGCAGCAATAAAGATAAAGTGGCTGGAGTCAAGACATATTTTGAAGGGTCTACCAACAGAACTTGTTCATGGATCAAATGTGGGAGGTAAGGGAGGAATTAAGGATGGTACCTAGGTTTTTAGAATGCTGTAGGGAAGACAGGGGAGGAAAAGCTTTGGGTGTTCGATATAGAGGTCGTGGGGGTGGGGGTGAATCAAGAATTCCATTTGGACATGTTAAGCTTGAGATACCCATTAGATATTAGGGGGAGATGTTAAACAGGTTGCTGGATAGATCCCATCTGGAATCCACGTGAGAGATAGAAATCTGGGAGATATGCACTGTAAGAGATTAAGTATAAATACAGATGTTACAATGTGAACAAAGTACAAAGAAAAGAATTACGTATTGACAAATATTAGCATTCAATGTATACTATACCAAATTTTATCTACTGTACTAGAGACTGGATTAGTAACCTTTATAGGACTGTAATAACCCAGCACTGCTCCTTTAAATTTTTGGATTCCACTCTTTGCTCAAAGTGTTATATTGAAGGCATGGTTTAAAAATTTAGATGAATTACAATTAAGTTTGCTTTTCAATACTTTTGGAGTACATTCAAATAAAAGCTGGAAATCATTATGCCAAACTGTAACAACTTAAATGTAATAATTACAAATTTTATATATAGTAATATCACTGTTTGAACATCTTTCCTCTTTAATCAGACTCTTATCATATTCGCAAAAGGTATTCTTTTGTTTTGTTTAAGTTGTTTGACTGTTTATTAAATCATGGGTACAGAAACTTTCAGTATTCTCTTGGCATTCTAAAGGAAAAATCAGAACTAAAAAAGCCCATACTAAACTCTGATTTACATTGCTCAGCTTACATACTCAATGTGAACTGACATTATCTTACAGTCACGAGAGACTTTATTTTTATTGCCTGTAGCAGCTGGGAATTGAATCAGATAATGCTAATTGTGACAAGGATATTATATGGCACAAGCTTGTGGTTCCAATTCAGTTCATAGACAACAGGTGCCCACATTACAAATATAACTACCCAGATGGCAGACTTGTCAGTTTGGGTAGGAACATGCAAAATTGAAAGAGGAAAGACTCAGCTACTGATTATATTTTCCATCAGATCCAAACTAAGACAGAGAGGAGAACAAGGCAGGCAGGCAGGAATTGTAATATCAGAACTTATATCTTAGCTGAATTTTATGTTAATGTCAATACGCTGGAGAATTAAAGTATGACTGAAAAACAGACATGTACAATTATTATAATTGATAAAAGAAAATCAGTAATTCCAGTTTCCAGTTATCAACTTGTAATTTTTCATTAGCATAGAAATGTTCTATAAAACTGGAAACAAAAGGAATACTAATAATAATTTTCTTAAGACAACTGTATTATTAGTACACCCTCTCCTCACTTATTGACATGGTTAGATTTCAAAGACCAGGTCATTATGCGAAATCAGCATTATGCAAAAATGGAGGGTAACTGCATCAAATCACAAAATGGAGGATGACTACATCATTACATAACTGTCAAATTACATCAGTACATAACTGTCAAATTATATCATTACATAACTGCCAAACCACTGAGAATCAAGACCTAGTCAAGGTGACACATACCTTTAAACAACAAAGCCTGCGTTATTCTTGCCTTGCATCTCAGTGTTTGTTACTACCAGACATATGTTGTTAATGCACAAAACAGGTGGATAGTAGGTTTTTTACTACTGTTGTAAATGTGAAATGTTGGGTAACGAAATAGCTGGTAAGTGAGGAGAAGGTGTAATTATTAATAGGCATTAGTAATCATTTCAGAAACAAAACATCAGAAAATGACATATCAAATATACTGTGGTAGGCGGAGCCAACACGGCACTATGGACAGAAGCACCATGCTGTCCCTCCATAGACCCGAAAAACTAAGTAAAACAGAAACAAACATCAATCCTGGAACCCTAAACATCTAATGAAGAGATAAAGAACTTAGCCAAGCACCAAATGGAATAAGAAACTGATAAGAGAACACAGAGTGAGGAAAGATACGTGCGGAGGTCCCCAATCAGCTAATGTAGCACGGATTCCCCATCTTGGACTCCTGTCGGAGATCAGTGGACAGGGAGCACGGGAAAGTAGCTTCACGGAGCTCGCAGCAGGAGACAGAACAACTGGTAACCAGCAATATACACTTTCCCACCCCCACCTTTCTTCCCTCCACTGTGCCTATTGGATTTGCCTTGCCCATGCTGGCTGGCACCATCAGTCTCATTTGTTTATTGCCGGGTGTTGCTTTTTTCCGATTCTTTTGGTTTCTTCCCTGCCTCTCGCCACCTCCTCCTCCTTTCTCTTGATCACCTGGCTCCATGTGCCAGCTCTGCCTCTTCCTGAAAGGTTGTGAAGCACTGCTCAGCTGGGGAACTGCTTCCCCAGTCCACGTCACCACGCTGGTAGGATCTCTGGGGCCTTTTTTTCCCTTTGTTTTGTTTTTTAGTTTTTTTGTTATCTTTTGTTCTGTTTTGTGTTCTTTTTCTTCTCATGGCTTGGGAGCCACTTCCCCAGTTTGTGCAGCCGGGCCGGTGGAATCTCTGGGGGCATTCTTTCTTTTTTTTTCTCTTTTTTCCTTTTTGTCTTTCTTCATTTCTCAGTTTCTCATCTCTCTATACTTACTTTCTTTTCCTGTTTCCTGAATACCTGGTGCTGTGTGACAAATCTGCCACTTATAGCCAGGCCTAGGAGCCACTTCCCTGGTCTTTGCACCCACAGCTGTGGGATCCCTAGGCACTTTGCTTTTTTTCCTAATTTTTATTTATTTCTTTTCTTTCTCTTTTTTCTCCTTTTTGTTTTTCCCCATTTCTCGGTTGCTTGTCTCCCCACTCCAAAAGCAAGCTCCCTTAGTGCTTGTGTGTGTGTCTGTGTGTTTGTTTGTTTGTTTTTGGCTCCTGTTTCTCATTGCTCTCTCTCTTCTTTCTCATACTCAGCTCCACACATTACAACCTCCACACCTCCTTCCTGCCTATCTGTACTATGTGCTGAACACCACACCTCCAAGCAGCACAGGCATGACCTACGGAACCTGCCCTGCACTGATTCCCAGCACGACCTGCTGGACCTAGTACATAACACAAACAACCCATCCTGGCCCCTCCCTTTCAGCTGGACCTGTCCTGCGCACCACAGCTAAGCGACTGGCCCTACCCATTGGACAAGGAGGTGAAAAGTATTGTGCCCACGGACAAGCAAACAACAAAGAATGCACAGCCCGCCTGTTCAGACATAACCAAATTAAAAAAAAAAAAAAAGCAGGATGAAACAAAGAAATCTACAATCAATAAACAAAGAAAATAACTACTGAGTGACCCAAAGACAGCAGACAATATCAAAACATATAAAAAGACAGGACAAGACGGTTCCAGTAGGCATCCAAAATAAAACACCAGATGATTTTCCAGTAGAAGAAAAGGCACTGGAACTACCTGATAGGGAATTCAAATCTCTAACATTCAGAGCTATCCAAGAGTTGAAGAAAAAAGTAGGCAAAAATGAGGAAAAAATAGACAAATTCATGGAAAAGGAAGACAAATTCATGGGAAACACTGACAAAATATGGAAGATTTCAGGGAAATAATACAAGAACAAAATGTCAAAATAAATTCACAACTAGAAATCAAACATAAATAACAATTAGAAACCCAGAAGATAAACAACAAGATTTCAGAAAGGGACAGTGTCATAGAAGGCCTGAGGAGCAGGTTTGAAACAATGGAAGACACGATGAGTGAAACTGAAGACAAAAAATTGGATACAACTCTGTTTGAGGAAAAATCAGAAAAAAAGAACAAAGAAAAATGAAGAAACCTGAGAATTATGTGGGATACAATCAAAAGCAAAAATTTGTGAGTCATCAGAGTTCCAGAATGGGGTGGGGGTGGGGGGGAGCAAACAGAAAACACAGAGAGGATCATTGAAGAATTGCTGAAAGAAAACGTCCCTAATATCATGAAAGATGAAAAGATGACCATCCAAGAAGCTCAACAAACATCATATAGGATAGACTCCGAAAGAAAATCATCAAGGCATATCATAACCACACTTGCTAAAACCAAAGCCAAAG